AAAAGTTATGTGTCAGACTTCGTTATCATTATACACCCAATAGTAAGCTTAAGCATATGCATATGCTTATTTGTGTTTTGTATTTGACTTACGTCCCTCGGTACATTGAATCTTTTACTTAAAACATTATTGCACACAGTAACACATAAAATTCTCTGGCCTATGATTTAATTTCAAAATGCGTTGTTATTCTAATAAGTAGAGAAAGAGGAGAAGAGGAAGGTTTTTATGAATAATTCATGCATATTATAGGAGAGAAAATCCGGAAATTCAAAGATTTGTCACAAGTTGTGTTGAGAACCATGGTTATACAGATAGATCAAAATAATGTATTACGAAATTATATATCTTGAAAAGATCTTTAAAAAAGTAGCCACTTTCACTACATGACACTCATCAATACCACAGTAATCATTTTTATCTTTTAGATCTTACAAAAAATAGTGGGTAATTTACGAAGCTACTTTGAACAATACAGTATTGTTCCTTATCCAAATTAATACGTTAGGTAGGTTGTGTATTTAATGTATATCAAAATGGTTTTTACTGCATATCATTACATCGTAATTGATATCAGAGATTTAAAATGCGGGGTCAAAGCTCCCGTCACCACGTCGGACCGTACGTCTGTGCCGGGTGCTAGCAGCCGGCAGGAACGGAGCGGGCCTATAAATATTGCACATAAAGATGTTCTGTAGTACATCTAGTCCTATCATAATTATAGTTTTTTTTATGACAGACGACTGACGTGAATTTTATTTATTAATTCATTAAATCTTTATGCACAAATGTGGCAAAAGCGGACTTAGTCCGTGGGAATTTTCTACCTGTCGCCCTTAGGGCGGTGCAGAGCAAAACGTGGTAGATGTACTGAAATTTATTAAAACTATGGCATATTATATAGAATATCATACACCCAGAGTACTTATATAAATTACATTAAAATATTTTTAATGATAAATACAATAAGTAATAATGATACTAATACACATAATACATAGGTATTTATATACACATACATATATACCTATACATAAATACACATAATTTAAATTCTAGAAAGGGAGATTTTAAAATTAAGGTGGATCTGATAGAGCGGTTAAGAAATGTTTCCGCGAGAGGAATTTAAAGGTTTGTCGAGTTTTAGCCATCGTAATCTCGGGATCCCTCCCGTTCCATAACAAGAAAGATTGTACCAAGAAAGTAGAATGTACAAAGTCAGAGCGGTGAGTAGGACAGTGAAGAAGGAGGTTGTCTGAGGATACAAGGTTTTTACTGTGGTTTGCACCTAAATATTGAATTTGAGAAGTGAGGTAGGAAGAAAAACTTGGAGAAAAGAGTAAAGAATATAGGGTCCTTAATGCTTGTCTGCAAAGGCGAATTGGAAACCATTTCAAATGGGAGCGATGCTAAGACACTTAATCACATTTGCGTAAATTGAAAACGAATCAAGTGCAATTATTGAGAAGACGGTCAAGCTTATTGAGTAGATCTGCATTCAGGTCAAAGTAACACATATCACCATAGTCGATTAATGGGAATATTGGAGACTGAACAAACATTACCTTACTTTTCGTTGGAAGAAAGTTCTTAAGTCTGTAGAGGGCCCGCAGCGAGCCTGTCACTTTCTAGCACTATGTGTGCCAGAAAGTGCAACAACTTGCTTTCGCCAGCTCAGTGTCAATGTACAATTCGAAGTTTTTCACACTTTCAGAGTATGGAATAACCATGACATCGTAGGTAAGTTTTGGAAGTGAGGCAAGGTCGAGTTAGCTTATACCACGGTTACTCTCGATGATAATAGCCTGACATTTATTCGGATTGACCGATACGCCAAACATATCGGACCAGTGTTCAATGGCTGCCAGATCACTATTTACAACCGAAACCGCGGACGATACATTGCACAACTCTGTTTGGTAGTAGTGTAGTGCAAGTCATCAGCGTAGAGATGAAAGGAACACTGAAGTCTTAGGGTGGTAATGTTAATGAAGATGGAAAACAGAAGAGATGAAAGGATATCGCCTTGAGGGGTGCCAGCAGCAAGATCACACCAGCCAGAAGAAGAATCTTCAAAACTGACTAACCTGCTGTCAATCCCGAAAGTAAGAGGAAAACCAGCCTAGTGCTTCTTGACAGATCGAGAAATGGGATAGGACAGCAAGGAGAAGTTCTAGACTGGCGATACTGGAGGCATTGTAAAAATCAACCAGTACTACAGTAGTAACCTCAGTATTCACCATCCCACCTTAAGATCGCCAGTCACTTTAAGAAGAGCAGATACCATACCATGGCCTAGTGGAAACCCTGACTGAAAGGAAGTGAGCAAGCGGTTACTGTAAGTGAAGTTGGACAACTGTTTGTAGTCGCAGGTCTCGATTTCGTGTTATGGTTCTTTAGAAAACGTTCACGACGCATTATGTCAATCACAGAAAGACCACATAGTGAAATGTGTCCTGGCCACTCCTAGCCTGCTTTGAAAATGACGTATTTTACTCCTTTAAGGATGAAACTTCCAAAAATCAGTTCTTAGTGGGTGTTAAAATAAAAAGCATTAGCTGCATAAAATGCCAGTTGGTAGCCACAGGGGTTTAAGCTCTGCATTGATGGATCGTCAATCAGTCAGGGACAGTTATTTTATAGGCGCCTATAGATAAACGTGGTTAGAATAATGCAGATTTTATATTTTTAAAATACGACTTGAAAATATCTTATATTTCGTACCTATGTTAATAAAGCATAGTGTACTTGGACGTCTTTGGCTGCACAAAAGGCAATATATAAAAATATATAAAAATCACACAATACTGTAAATCAACATCACTTCTTTTTCTTTTCATTCTAAAAATCTTTTACCTTTTGGCACAACAATAGATAATTTAAAACATTATACCAACCCAGACAAAGTCGTGTGTGAAGCTACTATTATATAAAAGTTCACAGCAGATTAAGTATCGCTTTTAACATGAAGCAACTTTTATTCGCCCTAAACTGAAATGAAACTTTTTTTTTCTAAATAGGTCGAATAAAGCTTCTCCTTAAATTAATTACCTACAATTTACTAGCAGTGCATGAGCACAATTTTTTTCACTTCAATAACAGTCTTATCAAAGACATTGAGTTATTTAAACGTGTTTAATACCATTGTAATCACTATATTTAATAGTAATTATGAAATTCCTGCTTTTAGGACTCAATTTAGTTTTCGGGTATATTTCGTGTTACAATTTGTATCAAGGAGATGACTTTGGTGCGCGTATGTCCTACAGAGAAGTGAAAAAGCATGAACTATTATTCTGGAGACGGCAAGCAACAGTTGTTTTTGAGTACCCGATTGGTACCAATATTACTGGCATTGCGTGTATAGACCTTGACTCCGATAAGAAGGGGATTGCTACGATACTGGCTGGAGGTGTGAATTACAACTTTGTGGAGGTAAAATTACAAAGTGAGAGAAGTGTTGGGTTACGATACATTATTGAGGTGTACAGTGCCACCAACTTATCTGTTCAGTAGACAAAATCGGAACTAAATCTGCGTCAATCTGAGTGTCAGTTTACAAGGTGTGGGTGCTCTCTGTGTTTATCATTTGATTTTATTATTAAAACTACAATTAAAATGCCGAAAGCTCTTAAAAGTGATGCTAGAGTTGTTATTTTAAAAGTTTTATCTTTTATGAACGAAGAAAAACGCCTCCAATTTCCAAAAATACCATTTGAAAAAGTGCCACAACGTGTTGCTGCCGCTACAGGTTAGTGTTATAGTCTAAGGACAGTAAAATTTCCCACTTAAATTATTTTATTATTTATTATTTTAATATTCAGCTTATGTTTCATATTTTATTGTCTATATATATCCACTGAAAATTAGAAATAAAACTGATACGTCGCCCCCACTACTACTAACTAGTGCACCATTTTACTATTCTTTATTTTCATAAACGTTAAACGTATACCTACATTGTGTTCACTGTTTATTCCACCCGAATAAATAAAAAAAATAACATTATTTCTTAAGTTTGATGAGCCACTTTTTGTTACAGGTGTTAGTGAGCGATTTGTTTATAAATTAATTAATGAAGAAAAACGAGCTAAAGAAACTAATATTAAAATATGTACACCTGGTAAAAACAGGGAAAGGAAAACAGGGAAAGGAAAACAGGGAAACTAGAAGTTGATGACTTTGATATTGGTGTGATTAGGAGAAAAACCCATGAATTTTATTCAGTAAAAAAAGAAATTCCTTCTGTAACCAAGCTATTGAATATTTTAAGAGAAGATATCAATTTCCAGGGGAAACTGATATCACGACCACAATTATTTTTATAAAATATAATGTAACTAGTTTGGTATAATAAATCGTATTATCTGTTTGCAAAACAAAATATTTCTTTCTTTTCAACTAATTTATAAATTATATAGTTATGATATTTAAACATTAATTAATAAACTCCGATCAATATTTAAAATTACAGCTCACGTGATTTCGTATGTTTCAAATACCCTAAACTCCTGATAAATTTTTTAAATAGCAACACCTATCGCTCCAGTAGCGACGCCGTCTACTGAACAGATAAGTTGGTGGCACTATACACATCTAAATTGAAAAAAAAACAGTAGGTACCTTTAATTTAAATACCGTCAATCAATCTTGCAAATTAAAATACCAACCGAAGAGACTTTGTAAATTACTTGTGTTTTTATGCAATAAATTATAACCTTATTTGTGCATTTTAAGCTTTATAGTCTATTTTGTTGTATGCAAAATTATAATTTTTATTGTTGTATGTTTTCATTGCTAAAAAACATATAGTAACAATGAACGCATCTATATCTGTCAACGTAAGTAAATTTCAACCAATCGCTGAAGACCAGCGGGGAGCCATTTTCCATCACCTGTCAGAACCAAATGTCAAACAAACCAGAAACAATCGGGGTTATTTAATGTTGCTAACAAGAAGTGTATAATATCTAACAAATTAGGTTTTAAAATGTCGGAAAATGGGCACGATGCGTAAGAAAACTCAAGTGTCTTTCGTAATCCGAGACGAGGAGGAACGGAGACATAAAAATGGTGTTAGTTCGTTGCAACTGGATCCGATACAAGGCCGATTATATTCAGCCGGTCGGGATGGAATTATACGAGTGTGGCATACAGGAAATGGTGTTCAGGATCGGTATATCCAAAGTATGGAACATCATACTGACTGGGTGAACGATATCGTCCTCTGTTGCGGCGGGAAGAACTTAATAAGTGCTTCTTCAGATACCACTGTTAAGGTGTGGAACGCCCCGAAAGGATTTTGTATGTCCACCTTACGAACTCACAAAGACTATGTGCGTACTCTAGCGTACGCTAAAGACAAGGAACAAGTTGCAAGTGCCGGCTTAGACCGCGCCATCTTTCTATGGGACGTAAATACATTGACTGCTTTAACTGCAAGTAATAACACTGTAACTACATCTAGTCTCGTCGGTAACAAGGAATCGATATACAGTCTAGCCATGAACCCTCCCGGGACTATACTAGTTAGTGGTTCAACAGAAAAAGTACTCAGAGTTTGGGACCCTAGAAATTGTTCTCGTCTCATGAAACTAAAAGGACACGCTGACAATGTTAAAGCATTAGTTGTAAGCAGAGATGGCACACAGTGTGTCTCAGGCAGCTCCGATGGTGCTATAAAATTATGGTCATTATCACAGCAGAGATGTGTATCTACAATAAGAGTACATTCTGAAGCAGTATGGGCACTACTGGCTACAGAAAACTTCACTCATATCATCTCTGGTGGAAGAGACCGACTAGTCATTATAACAGAATTAAGGAATCCAGACAACTTCATGATAGTGTGTGAAGAAACTGCCCCAATATTAAAATTATGTTTTACAGCTGACCAAACTGGCATTTGGGTGTCCACTTCAGAATCAGACATCCGTTGCTGGAAACTGCCACCATTGAATTCTTTAGACATGTATAATCAAAATAATTATAATACAAATAACGTGTATCAAACGCAACCATTGCATCACATTCCTGGGGGTCCTGCCATTAAACATTATACGGTACTGAATGACAAAAGACATGTATTGACTAAAGACACTGCAAATAACGTAGCATTATATGATGTTCTTAAAGCTTCTAAGCTTGAAGATTTAGGGGAAGTTGATTACGAGGAGGAGGTTAAGAAGAGATTCAAAATGGTGTATGTACCAAATTGGTTTAATGTAGATTTAAAGACGGGAATGCTGACAATACATCTGGGACAAGATGAAACGGACTGTTTAAGTGCATGGGTCAGTGCCAAAGAGGCTGGCTTGACAACAGAGAATGACCAGAAGGTTAATTTTGGTGCATTGTTGTTACAAGCTCTGCTGGATCATTGGAATCATCCAAATAGAGTGAATGAGACAGGAGTAAGAGTCATCGGAAACAGTTACTTCAATGTGCCGCTGCACACTCCACTTATATTTAGTGAAGTGGGTGGTAGAACTTTGTACAGACTACAAGTAAGTACAGTACTGAATTCAATATTATTAAAAAATATCCCAAACTATGCTGTCCCAAACTAGTCTGTACTGTGTTATTAAGAATGTTGATAACCATACTTATATATATTTATAAATATAAACAAATTATAGATAAATTATACCCAGATAGTACAAGTGCAAATGGGCCTGTTTGTTTAGTGGTTGGTGACCCTGACTGGTAAGCCGAAGGTTGTGGGTTAGTTTCCCACACAGCACGACTATTGTGTGATGTGCACGTTCATTTGGCCGGTACTGTAGTACTGCCTAGTTTGGGATCTGATGCCCATGTGTGAAATGTGTGAGGTATATATTTTTATGTTTATATATGTATATTTATTTAAAAAAAAAACAAATGATCATGCTGATCACACAATTTTTGTCTTTGTGGTGGAAACCACTAACCACTAGACAATGTTAAAAGACAAACACCGTCGTTTATACATTTTACAACTTAAATTCTACAACTGCTTATTGTTATGAAAATTTCCAAATGTGTCATCAGAAGGCCAATTCTCGTAACAAAAGTTTTATCAAAATCCAGTTCCGATCAATTCTCGTTCTCGCGACTGTCATATAAGGAATTTTCGCAGTAAAAAAGTAAAGTATTACTAAGACTACCAGATTATTAATTTAATTTTCGGTTACAATATGATAAAATCACATTAAACTACTCGTCATTGGATGAGACCTATTTCTTAGCGTTCCATGGACTTGCGACCCAGGTATAAATTTAGGGGGTACTCCTTGCGTGGCGTGAGCGCTTATCTCCACTGTCTGCTGTGTAACCCCCTCTACCTAACCATATTTGATACGAGCCTAAATTCTCCTAAAGTTAACCATTCATTCTGCATTTCTCGGTTCATTGCGTGCACCTTGTACGTCTTGTTTTCATCTTGTTGTAGAAAATCTGTGCCTGTCTTCTAGCATTTCCCAATCAAACTACTGAACTGCGTACCAACCAAGAATTTCTTGTGGAATTGGAGCCGTGACTCGAGCTCTAATGAATTTTTATTCTTTGGAAGGGATCTAACAACTTCATGCATGATTGCATGAAATAACATGCAGCTCTTAGGTGTTTGTAGAGTTCCGAACGTCTTTTTAATTTCATTCCAAAGTTATTCGAGCCCCTGTAAAACGTTGACGGGTCTGCAGATACTTCTACCACAACTTCAATGTCTTAGTGACTTTCGCGTCCAGTGTGCTTAAGTGGTTCTGGTTTATATCGTATACCAGAAACGGCCAGTTGAGACGTGATGTTAAGTAGTTGTCGCAAATCCAAGCTTTTTATACCTTACTTATTGGCTGTTACAGTTGTGAGATTGAGAGTTGTTTGGAACTGAATTGTGACCGAACCCTTATTTCGAGAATTGGCCTTTGGGTGTACAGATCCATATCTGTACACCTAATGGCCAATTCTCACATAGGGCGTTATATTCTGAAAATGGTAATTTTTCCAAGGTACATTTAAATTTGTTGTCAAAATGTGAATACAAATTAAGCTGTACAAACGAGTTTTGATTTTTTTAAACCTATTTTTATTAAACCAAACTTTAAAGTAATGCAACCAAAATCTTAATCCTTACGAATTGTAATTTATGTAGTGTAATTTCTTACTTCACTGAAACATTTTATACATACATAAATAGAGAGACTGATGAGTTTCCATTGCTATTTCTGTGGCTCATTTGCTTTGTAAGACGTGTTAGATTGTTAATACAGCACTTATATGACTTGTATACATAATATTTGTACCAGAGACACCAAATTAATGTTATCTTTTTTTGTAGATAATCATAAATCTTTTTAATAATAGTAGTGCATCACATTAAATTCTGTTTTATTTACTTAGCCTTATCTCAAATAAATAAAATGGAAGTGTCTGTTTGTAACGTCAAAATAATAGGCTTTTTTCATGCTCACACAGTTATTTGCACCATATCATATCTAAAAATCAGGTAAATTTTTGTTTTCTGTCTATCTGTTTGTTCCGGGTAATCTTCTAAACGACTGGACCTATTTTTGATAATATTTTACTACCAGGTAGCTGTCTATATAAGGAGTAACTTAGGCTATTTTTCCTCTCAGAAGAAACCCATAAAATTTTACCCGGTCCGGGAATCCACGCGATCGAAGTCGCGGGTACCAACTAGTGTCTACTATAGGTAGCGATAAATCTAAAAAAATAATAATTAATGTTTGCGACATTTTATTTATGAATAATCCGTAATTATTGAGCTTCTCAAAGCTATGAAATTAGTGGTATGATGATCATAATGAGTTTTCTGGTCTTTAAACTCGATTTATTGATTGTCATAACAATTTTAAATTGGTTTCTCAGGCCAAATTGATAGCCTAGATCTCCGAGACTGATTTGTGAATATTGTGAATCAATTTTAACGTCGTTTATCTATAAACTTAGTACTTATGGTGTAAAATTTAAAGATTAGACAAGCAAACAACGCAGGACAACACCACTGTAAAGAGAAGAAAAACTTTACACAAACCCTATACTAACCCATCTGGCCAGTGTGGCATAGTAGGCCAAAACCTCCTTTCTAAGGAGAGGCCTATGTCCAGCAGTGGACAAATTAAGGCTGTTGATGATGATACTTATTCCTTTTTTACAGGTAGGTGATGCCGGTGGTGAGACAGAAGGCAACCTTCTCGTGGAGACAGTGCCTTCGTGGGTGGTAGACGTAGCCATCGAAATGGCAGCACCTAAACTAAATAAACTACCATTTTATCTCCTGCCACACTCCAGCTGCCAAAGTAAACAGGATAGGCAGAAGAAGGTAAACCTTTATGCAATTATTATTTTTCAATCCCATTTCGAGTCGGCGCTATGGTTACATTGCATAGGATTTTGGCTGATTTCTTTTATAGCGGGTCAACTGCGTGCTAATTTTTGACTGCACGGATGACGTGGTGGTTTAAGCGGTCGCCACGCCGCTTACTACTGCGCTGAGTGTTGTGGGTCCGATCCCCACACTTTGTGATCCACAAATTGTTGTTCTGAGTCTGGGTGTTCTTTGTGTCCGTTTCATGTATGTTTGTAAAGTCCCCCGTGGCACAGGATATATTCCTAATACGGGAATTGTCTCTTTTAAAACAAAACAAACGAACAAACTGCCTGTCAAAGGAAGAAATTAAAATTATTTTTAATAGAATAGAATGATAGTAGGCCAAAACATTCTTTCTAACGAGAGGCCTATGTCCAGCAGTGGACTAGGCTGTTGATGTGTGATGTGAATAGAATGATGGAAAGAGTACCACAAGTCTCGAATACTACTGCAGTCAAACAAGACTAAGACTGCTGGAGGTCGAAAAAGTCGAGTCGCTTACCCCTGGTTTTTTTATGGTATAAATAGCAAACGATCAGACGAGTCACCTGATGGCAAGTGACTACCGCCGCCCATGAACAACTCAAGTCACAGTACTCCCCTCTAGAATCATATGTGGGATGGATTTGGGCTCCGGTAACCTCACTAACTAGTGACAGCTACCTGTTTTCTGTGAGGCCGTGGTACTCCGTTCTGCCCATTTGTGTCGAAGTATGGCTGTTTCTTTATATGTATTGTGTAATTGAAACCACCTGGGCAAAGAAACTAATAGTAAACTTATATACCAATGCTAAAGAGCTTTTTGTATAATTATAGATGGTTCTAAACAGCTATGGAATAATTGATCAGATTTATATACAGACGGCTAGTGCACATATGTATAAAAACTAAATAAGTATTTTTTTCCAACTTCAGATGACAGTAGACACACTTTACTTGAAGTAAAGGATATTGTTACGAGCGGGGTATATTAAATAAATGTTATCGGTTAATTCCTTTTGTAGCACTCTATGTACTACTACTAACTGTAACTGTACTAACACTCCCTATAACAAACAAGAAATCATTATACTACTTACTCGTTGGTCGTACTAGAAGTTCACTTCGCTGTGTCATAAAATGATATTGTGTCGTACGGCCAATACTCTCCGCTTTTATAGCGCTATCGAATTTACTAGAATGATCCCTAGTATTCGATAGTCTGTTCCAGACAAACAAGAATATTCCAGCATCATTCACTTGCGCTGTAAGGATCAGAATTATTAATGACAATCTTGAATTGAATTGAATTGACAATCTACTTTACTTGATACTAGATGGCGCTGTCCTCGACATTCCATACATTCTGAAACAATTTAACCATTTAATCCAATGGCGTAACAATATTATTTCGAAAACCAATATGATCCTGACATATTGTGTTTTACAAAAATATTCTTTAGTTTCATTTTTTGAATTAAAAATCACTTGAAGTTTATCACATGTATTTGTAACATTAACTGCTAATGTTTTAGGATCGTCTAGTTGCCAATGACTTCATCCAATGTCGTAAGGTTGCCGAACATGTGGTGGAGAAGATCGTGGGGGGTGGCGATGTGAACGGCGCCAGCGCTGGCAGCGGCCGTGGCAGCGCTAACGAGGACAGTGGTAACGACGCTCCTGAAGAACGGGTTGAGCTACTTTGCTGTGATCAGGTTAGTAGCTGCTATTAAATCATTAACCTTAATTTGTATACTATACCATTAAACTTGTATACTATATTGTTAGCGTATTTAGTATATTTATTTTTATATATATTTATTATCTAAAGTATTATAAACTACACCATAGACTACCCTAAATCTGATTAAACAAAGGTGTCTTGTCGTGTAAAGGTTGTCTGGAAGAGATCGGCGTGAGCGATAAGACCGCCTATTGTAATTCCAAAATGTAGGTGTCCATCCATGTCTATACAATATATACTGTTGCGGTGTACAATTAAGATGTATAAATAAATACTAAACTTGTTTTCTCAGCCAAGACATGTGTGATATAAACAACATGAGATACTGTAAGCAAAGTAAGGACTAAAGACCTGGACAAAGAGATATAGTTGTACACGGGTCTTCATTACTTAGATGCTGAGTCCTTCATGTAAAAATTAAGCGTACTAGTGTTGTCATTCATAATGCTTAAATTCCATTTGCCTTATCTGTATTATTATTACCACAAACTTACTTGTCTCTGGATAATATGAGAGGTGAACTGCATTTCTATTTTCCATTTCTAAAAGACCACAATTTAAATAAAGAATTTCATTCCAGGTGCAACTGACACATCTTTTATGATAAAACTGACTTAATATATCTAAACATAATCCTTGCTTGCTTATCCACACTTAAACTACTTATAATGTATTTTGTGTTTTTGACAAGTTAGACCATGCCTTCCTAGTTTAGGATAGATATTTAGTTAGTGAAGACAGAACACTCAAGAAAGAACAAAATCATTTTCATAGACTATGTTTTCCAACTGCATATCTACAAATAGATAATATTGAAATGTTAATTCCAGGTCTTGGACCCCAACATGGACCTTCGAACCGTCCGCCACTTCATCTGGAAATCAAACGTAGAATTCACACTACACTACCGCGTTCTGAAACAATGAAACATACTCACGTTGTACCAGCTGAGGAAATACTGCACTTTTTACTGTATTTTCAGGTTGTGAACAATCAATATGTGGTGTAAAAACCTCTTTAGGTTTCAGTATGTGACGTCATTTTGAAATGTATGGCCGAAACTGGTATGGACTATTCCAATTTTTACTATCTAAATGCCCCAAGCTACCAAAATATTCTATCGTCCCAATAATAAACAAAATAAAGTGTGTTTTCGAGATCAAAATGAGAGTTATCTGGAACAAAATGTTGTCATATTATTTAGAACTGAACAATAACATTTTTTTTAATCACATAGGTATTTAAACAGGTCATAAGAAGAAGTGGAGTTATTTTATTACCAACTCCTGCAATTTACTTCTGATTAAATTTCGTTGCGGGTTCCAAGAAGTGTCCAAGTCCCGGGTGTCATTACACAGTGTGTTCGTCGGTGTCTGCTGTTGATCCTGGTGTACAGGTGGCACAGATTGACCATGAGTCAGCCTGTCCATCAATTAACACCCATTAGCTTTGATTTGTTACTGTATTATATACAAAATTAAATAAAGTTTAAAAGTTAGTATCACTAATGTACCATAAATATCGTTGAAACGAGATTTACAACAAACCTCTTATTATTTTTAAGCATATAATGTAGTCACCAAAACAGATGAAAATACTTAGAAATGCAAAATAGATACAATAAGAATAAAACGACAGCAATATATTTATAATTCTCATATTTTTTATCGGAATAAATGCAGCTATCACTTTTATTTAAAAATAATGCTAACTTTGATCTTACTCAGCTGTTTGAACATTGTCAGATATATGTCACAAAAGAGGATGCAACATAACATAAGATATTCCAACTTTAAAAGTGAGTTATTTTTCTTGTGTCTCGTATATGTGACAATGGTTTACGAAGTTCAGTCTTTACTCGTTTGTAACGCTCCAAAAAACTGATGTCAAAAAAGCTTTGTCAGCTGTCTTGTTTTTATTTCGTTATTTAAATTTTATCCCCGTTATATTAGTTTTATGAACTAAAAGGAATATTTCTAGGTCTGTTTCCCACTGGCAGATCCCAGATTTTCTTATTACCTTGTTGTATGGAAGGAGTTAAATAAAATAAAAAAGATCTTGTTTATGCTACCGGATTCTCAGAATTGTCATAAATTTGTGCTACAAAGTGTGTTGTCTCGTCATTATGTCTCAGCAGAGTGTAGGATGTACGATCAGTTTTTAATCTATATTTATTTCCAGTATAACGGTGTATATGATAGGACACATAGTTGAACTTTCTTTTTATAATTGTTGATAGTATTTTAGAATAATTTTGTGGAAAGAAAAACGTGTTTTAACAAAGCTATGTGTCCATAGACCGACACTGAACTAACATCAATTCGTCAAAGCAATTCTGCTTGTACCTTGTTTATTAAACTAGTTAAATAAACAGTTTAGCAAAATGTACACATATTTTAAACTTTTTAATCTTTCAGTATTCATATATTTACCGTGATTCTCAAAAACTTTAAATGGATAATAGTCACTTCAAGAGTAGTTTTCTGTTTTTCAAATTCCAAAAATATAGTTTATTAACTCAAAATACAACAGATATTTTGTAAAAATAGTTTTTTTTTAATTTGAACATCTATGCAGTTCTTGTGTTTATCGTCTACTTAAAGTAGGTACGTAAAGCAAGTCTTTTGTACTTGATGATAGGTATAACGAAAACTTTAGACTTTTAACTTAAGTAAGTCAGATTTATGTTCTGAAACCGCTATTTGTAAATGCTTATACAAGTTCAACTGACTTAAGTTTCAAAAATATTTTTATAAACTTAAAATACAACACAGCGAGTCTTTTGTGACATAAAAGTTTTTTTTTTCAAAATTTGAACGTATGTGTAACTTCTGCTATCGTATATTATCTACTTAAACGCATAGACACAAGAAAGTCGTTCGTACTTTATGGTACGTATAACAAAAAAAAAATACTTCTAAAAAAATTGAGTAATTCCGCTTTAGGTTCTGAAACCGCTATTTGTATAAGCATAGATGACAAATAAATGAGTTCCAATGTCAACAAAGCATTACGCTGTCGTCGGTGGCAAATGATATTCTTAAATTTAAATTTATAAAATGAAAATGTATAGTAAGGAATGCATAGCAACGAAATTATATTATAATTTTGAATAAAGAACGCAGTGACGTATAAACAGTATCCTACTCGACCTAGCATAACAGTTTTTATTTTAACTGGTTTTTTGTTTTTTTTTTTAATGCATATGTATTAAGGAAACAGTTTTTGTAGTGAGTTATTAAAGGAGTTTAGAACATCTATATAGTGTGAGGGGGGCGGGAATAGCTAGTGTGTTCTCAGTTGGTGAAGAACACTGTAGAAGTTTTGTTATATAAAAATGACCATTCCTTTATAGTTGAAGCAAACTTGTCAGTTACATTTACAATATATTTAAAAATGATAATAATTTAAAAAGAGGGCCTTAAGAAAGTTGAGGAATGATGTTAAAAATATATAGAAGCAATATTTGTCAATAGAAGCAAGAAGTGTACTAAATACAAATACCATGTAAACATTTGTAAATTGTTTGATTTCATGATGATTCAGAAATGTATTCATCATTAGGCAAAAAGCCCTAAAAATATTTTTATTAAGTAAATGTTATCCTTTATATACGTCTTTAAAGGAAAGGTGTCTGTGATTTCCATTCTTTTTATTTGTTTGACTGTCTAGTAGTATTAAGCTCTGAAAATGCTAAATACAAGTATTAAAAAAACTTACCTAATTTTTATTACAAACGCTGGGCGTTGCTGTATTCATTCATATTACATTACACAAATTGAGAAAATAGAGATCCGAGTTTTAGATGTTATTATATTGGCATTAAGCGAAAGTGAGTCTTCAAAACTAATATATCAATTATGTTAAAGGTGCTTAAAACAGCTTAAAATTGTATTTAAATATTAATAAAGAATTTATGTGGCATTATCGAACCATTATTTCAATAAAACTATAGGAAATATACAATAAACGACACAAAATAATATTTCCAATCAGTATTACATGCTATGTAATAGAATAACAATTCATTACACAAGATATGTCGCTTAAACCCTTTTTACGAGACCTCTGTTGGATGTGGACTTAGTCGGACTCGTCTGAAATATGTAAGTAATCTCAGAATATCAGGTAATAATAGTTGTATATAAAGGAGTCCACCAGTGTACCAGTCCAGAAATAAACAAATATAAGAAGTTTTACAAAAACACTTTATTTGAATCCAACTCATTTTAATATGATTGTTGTTTGTAAGGAAGACGGAAGAAGATAAAACCACTATCAATAGATCTAAGAGTACCTAATTAAAAATACCAGTAAGAGTCTATCATTGCTAAAATTAGAAAGAAAGTAAATATACTATGCAAGGCAGTATTTCATACCGGCCAGCGCCTGCAGCTCTATATGGAATATTGTTTTCATCTCTATACTGTGACGACTCAGTACCAGCTTCTTCCCCAAAAACGACCACCCAAGAACTGCTCAAATCGTTGATTACTGTTTTTGCTGTTGCTGTTTATGATATAGGGGGACGAAGGAGCAAACGAGTCGCCCAATGGTAAGTGGGTACCGCCAGCCATGGATAGATCCCGTATTCGAGGTGCGAGACATCTTTATTCACGCATGCCATAGGGAATGCATGCGGAAACCATTTTTATTAGTCGATCGAACCCGAATACGGGGTACGGGAGATTTAAGTTTGAGCATGCAATAGGTCCCGCATGCTGTGACCGTTTTCATTAGTCGATGGGGCCCGCATGCTGGATGTTTGATTTTTTTGACCACGTATTTATGCAGATGTTTTTAAAGCCTGCGTGAGTTGAATCCCCGGTCCCCGTTTGCATAACACCAACCGAAGAATTTCGTTGGTTGTCAGGCTGTGTGCGGGGAATATCGATGGCGCACTTAGATTAGTCGTTATTCCGTATTCGGGGACTCCCCATATGCGGTATAAAGACCAGTGAAAAAGAGCCTTCTGATAATTTCAAGGGGCACTTAAAAATTTCACAGAAATATTATGGAGGTACTACTACTAAGACATCATGAAATAAAATTTTTGATTAAAATTACTGGTTTATTTTATTTCAGTCATTTTAACTCACACTACATATTAATTAACTACTTGGTTTTTAAACGACCATAAGCCATTGACAGTTTATCAGCTTACAGCTGAGATGTGTCAACTTTAGTATAACCTAAGAATCACAAATAGTAAATGAAAAATAAAGAATATTTTCAATAACATGAGTGGGAGAACTATATTACAGTCTTTGTATTGTACATTTACAAAAAAACTATCTTTAAAACATGGTTTTCTAGCGAAAACAAGGTTATGTGTTAACGATTTTCAAGTTTCATGCAATGTTTTTAGTACTAAAGCGAATGCACAAATTGAGGAGAAAAAACATTGTAATATAGGAACTATAGGGCATGTAGACCATGGAAAGACTACGCTAACTGCAGCTATAACGAAGATCTTATCAAAGGACGGGTTGGCGACGTACGTTTCATACGATGAGATTGACAGAGCCCCAGAGGAGAAAGCCAGAGGTTCGTATTGGTGCTAAAAACATATTTTACTTGTGTTAAACAAGAGTTCAGGGTTGACACTCTGAACTCTCCACCTCTGTTTATCCTGTGGGTGTCGTAAGAGTTGACTAAGGGAGCAAACTACACAGGACAACAGTACTGCAAAAAGAAAGAATTCGGGCCAGCATGCATCAATTGCATGCATGCATTAATTTTTGGCCTTTCCTGCTAGATGAGCCAGGCAGTTAAGAGTTTAAGGTCCTATATTTCTAGGACAAAAATAGAATCTTGTTGGGAAATTCATTTGCACAAAAAAAATTTGGAGCTTTTGCTTGTCTATTCTTATTTAAGAGTTAATTTACAATCTCAACAGAAATTTTCTTTTTTATCTTATTATGTAATGGTCTTATTTTTTCACAGGAATTACGATAAATGCAGCCCATGTTGGCTATAGCACAAAACTCCGTCACTATGCACATACTGACTGCCCAGGACATGCTGACTATGTAAGAAACATGATATCTGGGGCTTCACAAATGGATGCCGCAGTGTTGGTAGTGGCCGCTAATGATGGCCCTATGCCGCAAACAAGAGAACATCTGTTATTGGCTAAACAAGTTGGCATACAGTATATATTGGTGTTTATTAATAAGGCTGATTTAGTTGATAATGAGGTAAGTTTTGTATCAGTCAGGGATGCCTGAACAGGCTCTTTTTAAAAGAGTGGATTGTGCTGCTTTATTTGAATACCACTTTCACACAAAAGTTTTTCAATTTCAATCTATTAGAGATCTGTACCAAGACATTGAACCAAATAAAATGAAAAAATAGTTTCTCCAGAAACAGACCCGCCAAGTTTGATTAAATCCTAGCTTACTTGATAATGTAGTATCAAAGTAAGCTAACCATTGTTACTCAACAGCCTATACATAAGAAGACAGTCACATGTTGAATCCATACTTTCATACTTATTTTATAAATGTGAGAGTGAGTTTGTTGATTAAGCTTTTACACTTAAACCACTAAACCAATTTTAAAAATTCTTTCACCAATGGAGAGGTACATCATCAATGAGTAACATAGGCTACTTTTTACCGCGATAAACACACATGCTGGCGGAACCGCAGGCAAAAGCTAGTATAGTAAATAGTGTATTTTAGTATTAAAACCTTTGTTTCAGTTATTAGAACTTGTTGAGATTGAAATGAGAGAATTGTTATCAGACTTTGGATATGACGGAAACACTGTTCCCATGATTTGTGGATCTGCATTAAAAGCACTAAATGGCGATGAATCAGATTTTGGTATGTAATGAATGTAATTTAAGAATTTATTTGCTAGACATATAGACAAGGGATATGGGACATTTCTGTTAAAATTCTTCCATTCTGTAACCAGGGTATGGCCCTGTAAATAAGTTTGATTAGAAAGGCTGCATACATTTTCTTCAAAACATTTAGGTTTTGCGAGTCTATGACTACTCACCTAATCTGGGCCTTTTTAGTAGTAAGAATCGAATTATAAAACCTAATGAGTGTGGCGAGCAGGCTGTGATATAATGTAGGTATATTAGAATAACTATTTTCCTGAATGTTGCAAAGGAGTTGCGTGTTAAGGTGAATACATACACAAGCATCGCAACCCACGTCTTGATATTAATTTGACTCCAGTAAAAATAAAACCAGCACATACTCAGGTCGACTGACGCACGCTCGGGTCTATCTAACCGCGTACGAAGCAGTTGCGTCGTAATGTGCGTACCTTCTTTTTTCAATAATTTATAAATTATTATAAAAGCACGTGTACGCGATGCGGTGGTGCCATTATTATTGTGGTATATGAGCTGGATCGCTCCAAGCATGCGCCGAATGACTCCGATGGGTTTATTTTCTCAGCCGAGGCATGCGTTGTGCGTCACACGTTTCGCATAGTGTCTAGTTCCGTCAACCTGTACACTTTGGTCGTGGAGCTTTGCCGACATACGCTGGCTCACCTTCACACTGCGTAGCACATGGCTCTGCACGACTATGAACGTCCACACATTGCGAAGCATGCTATGAACGATGGTTCACTGCACAAGCCACGCAATCTCTGTATCCACCTTTAAATGATTCAATACCAAAGCGTACGAGATCCACGCTATCACTTCAAAGCATGCACCGTAAATACTTCAACATCAGCTACTTATTTATTTTGTGTATCATTGTGTACATAAATAAAACTTCCATTTCGACTACTACTCTAACAAATTAACATTCTTTAAAACAATAAAAAAATTGCAAAATCCAGTGCAATGTGCATATGATATTCTATTTATACTATTATTATTTTTTTCTTTTAAATCACATTTCTAATTTCTGTGCATCTACCATTTTTTTTAACTCTGCATCGCCCTAAGGTCGACTGGTAGAAAATGCCTACGGCATTAAGTCCGCCTGTGTCACATTTGTGCATAAAGTATAAAATAAATAAATAAATAAATGTTCTACATCATCAGCCTATCGCCGTCCATTACTGAAAGCAGGCCTTCCCCAACTATCCTGGTCTTCAGTAACAATGTCCTACATGACAATAAAGTACAAACATATCTTATTTTTCCAGGAGCTCCATCAATACGAAAACTGCTAAAGACCATGGATGAATACGTGCCTCCTATAGTCAGAGACCTCAAGTCACCGTTCCTAATGCCCATTGACAATGCCTTCACAGTGCCCGGCAGAGGCACAGTAGTTATAGGCACTATAAAACGTGGCATTATGAAAAGGAATGATGAAGCTGATCTGCTGGGATTCGGATACAATATTAAGACAACAATTTCGGACGTGCAGATATTTAAAAAGAGTGTTACTGAGGTTTGTGATGTTATTTATTATTAATACTAGCTGTCCCGGTAGATTTCGATCTATCAAAAGATATCGGCTGGTCGCAGTAAAAAAATGTAAAGAAACTCAAAATGTGTCTATTTTATAATTAAAAAAAAAATATATTGAAATCGTCTTAGACTCTAAAAGCATAGATGAACACACACAATAGTAACAAACTGTTATATCAAATATTTAAGAAAAATGAAGTTAATCCATTACATTTATCTGTGCCGATCTACAACCGCCCGTTTCCAAGGGGTTAAGCCTTATAATAACATAATAAAAATAATATTTCGAACATCTGACGTATAATGCCAGCTTATGAGAAGAAAGGGCAAACAAAATGTATTTCAGAGTGATCACTTTTCTTTTAACTTTATTTAAGGCAGGCTTAGATGATTCTCTATTAAGCCCTAATCAACTTGAAGGTATACCATTTTTTTTTTTTTTTTTTTTTAACGTGTGGAAATCCCCTCGGACCGTCACCCCACCAGGGTTTGCGGCGGGGTGGTGTGTCGGACTCGAACCGACTAAAACCACACGGTGTGCCCTCTTTGCGCTTCCAGTTTAGGAGGGGTCCAGGTAGTTATCGCCTTCTGGACCCCTCCCAGCGCCGGCCCGCTCCTGGTGCGGGCTCCGTCTTCAATTATCCTCTCTTTAGGCGACGTCCGGCACACGCGGACGCCGCCCCCTCGCGGCTGGCCAACTAATGCGGGTGGAGGGGAAACCCACCCCGTCCACCCGCGGCCACACTCAGGGCGGCATGAGGCGCAGGTAAGCGCGCCTCCGCCGCCCGGTTCGCCAGCGGTGGATCAGGTCCGAGTGGAGGTCGTCCTCCCGGGCCTTCTCCGCCGCCTCCTTCTGCGAGATTACCTCCTCGCAGAAGGTTGCGACCGCGGTAAAACAACTGTCGCTACCGGCCATGGAGCGAATTACGGCCGGTAGCGAGAGATCTGCTCCGATGACTGCAGTGAGGGCCCGGCGCTGCGTCGCCCATGCGGGGCAGACCGCCAGCGTGTGCTGGGCCGAGTCCTCACTGCAGTCGCAGTGGTGGCAGGCGGGACTCAGTTCCCTCCTAGCGACCGAGTGCAGGTACTTTCCGAAGCAACCGTGCCCGGAAAGCACCTGCGTCAGCCGGAAGGAAAGGGCCCCGTGCTGCCGCCCTGCCCACTCGGCTATGACCGGCTGGAGAGCCTCCACGGCGGCGAAGCCAGCGCGTGGAGTCTCCAGCCGGAACGACCATCTAACCATGGTGGCTCGGCGAGCGGCTTCGCGCCACTCGCGCACGTCTTCGGGCGGAGGGCGAAATCCGCTCTCCGCCCGGAAGTCAGCCACTCGCCGATAAACTTCGGCGAGCACTTCCGCCTCCAAATCGCGCTCCCTCCAAAATCCAGAGGCGCGCCCTATTCGGGGCGGTCAGAGCCGCCACCCACACCGGTGCACCATAAAGCGCCATGGACCGGACAACCCCCGCGTACAGCCGCCTCATGGGAACACTGGCCCCGCCCAAATTGGGCAAAAGTCGCCCTAGGGCGGAGGCAGTGTCCACCAGCTTCGGACCAAGCTGTCGGATACCAAAGATAACCTTAATGCGCTTTTGTTTTGTTTTGATTGACGTCAAATGTTTGACAGCTAGGGACAGGTGTTTTAATTTACTCTGTTATATTATTTTACTATTTTCTTCGCAGTTTTTTCTCCATTTTGATTAAGGCACAAGGAAGGGCCTTGTGCCTTAATCAAAATATAAAAAAAAACTCCAATTGTTCTCGAGTTCGACATATTTCGAGATTATTTCTTATTTATACATATAAATTAGGCATAATATTCGATGTTTTCCCAAACCATAACTTGGCTTCGACTTGAAAAGTCAGACGATCCAAAGGTGTACCTATTACTTAATCGTGTTAATGTCGGTACGTTTTTATAATTGTATGAACGCTATTAAGTCTATGAAATATATAGTAGATGTGGATGTCTGCTTGATCGGAAGTTTTATAAAAAAATCGACAAATACAAGCTTTTCGGTGTTCAGAGAGTCTCTATATATAATATAATATATATATATATATATATATATATATATATATATATATATATATAATATAATATGATATGATCAATCATATATATAATATGATCAATGTAACTATGGGGATAGTTATATTGATCATATTATTTTTTAAACGATGCTTACCATCAGGTAGACTGTGTACTACCTGTGACTTGGCCTCCCGATGTTTCTTAGAGAAACACTTGAAACACTTTTCAAATTTTCTTGCAGGCTTTAGCTGGCGACAACGTAGGCGTTCTACTGCGTGGCATGAAGATCAAGTCAGTAGAAACCGGCATGCTTCTCACAGCAACCAAGTCATGTCAAATGAGTAACCATTATAAGGCAAAGATATATTTTCTAACACGAAGCGAAGGCGGGCGGAAGAAACCAATATTCTCGAAGTACTCACAGCAAATGTTCAGCGGCACATGGAATATTGCGTGCAGAATTGATTTGGGTAATGTATTAATTATAACCAGGCCCCTCTTTCCCACTGCACGTGCCCAGGGTCCCTCCATCGATAGTCCTCAAATTCCTGCCAGATCACTAATCGCCTCGACTTCGAAAAAATCGAACGATAATGAGTGACTACCATACTTTCTTTGTCTATTCTAACAGAATAGTGCTCAGTTAGGTCGTAAGGGCCCCATTATTCTAATGTGCCCAGGGCCTCCAATAGGCTGATGCTATGTATTCTGTCCGTGTAGTGACGGATTAAGAATACGGAAAGTCACTACCCCAATTCATCCCGTGGGTGTCGTAAGAGCCGACTAAGGGAGCAAAACAACGCAGGACACCAGCGCTACAAAAAGAAGGTAAACTTGACACAAACCCTATACCAAGCCGTCTGGCCAGCGTGGTATAGTAGGCCAAAACCTCCTTTCTAAGGAGAGGCCTATGTCCAGGAGTGGACTATTAAAGGCTGTTGATGTTGATGATGATGATGTATTCTAGTCCTAAGACTCTGTCCTGCCTGCTATGCTATATCTGATTAAAAACAACCTCTAGTATCCAGTAGCTACTATGTAACGTGTGATTTATTAGTGTTCAAACATCACAGTAAATAATTAGTGATAATAATTCATTCACACATCACACACACGGCAGAGCCTATGCTATGGTAACCAGACTGCTGATGTACATACTTATATATTTCTAAATACATACATATTATGGTTAAATTACACTCAGACACAGAACAAATGATCGTGCTCATCACACAATTATTTATCCTGGGTGGGAATCGAAGCCACGACCTTCGGCATAGCAGTCAAGGTCCCTAACCACTAGACCGTCTACACTCACTAACAGGCCCGCCACTGTAGTAGTGCAGTGCAGTGGCAGGAGTGCAGTTGAAATGTAGAAACTTACTAGGCAGATAGGCTCTAGACAGACAGACTGCATTTTAACTCCACTCCTGCCACTGCACTGCACTATTACAGTTTAAGTGTAGTTAGTCCAACTGTATTTGAACTGGGTACACGTCGATCGTGCAGCTAACTTGCAGTCAGCCTTCAGTCGTTGGAATTACACGTCAACTGCGATTCGGGCTGTACGGTTGGTTTGCAGTTTAACTGCAGGCCGTCTGTCTAGAACCTAAAGAACTGGTTACCATTACCTGCAATGATTTCTCACACAAAACATCTTTATATGTACCTACAATATGTAAAAGAAATACTTACAGTTACTGCTTGTACATCTGTGCATGATTCTTGCCATCTTCATCATCACATATACAGTTAACTTTACCTCAAAATACATAATATTCTAGATCCAAGTATGAACATGATGATGCCAGGCGACCACGGAGAGGTGTACCTGACCCTCCTTGAAGACATGGTGATGACGCAGGGCCAACCTTTCACGATACGAGAGAACAATGTGACCGTTGCTACAGGCATCGTGACTGACACTTTAAAATCCATCGATGTACCGAAAGGGAAATTGGGCAAAGTTGTGATGAAGTATGAGGAAATTAAGGAATAGAATGTTGCATGGTATTTAGGTGTAGATATTGTTAATAAATTATTGTGTATATAACTTCTGTTTGATTTGACATTCCCAGTCTGTTTGATGCCGTTTTCAGACGGATGGTGTAGTGGCTTCAGTGGTCACGTCCCCGATTCCTATTGCGCTGAGTGTTGTGGTTTTGATCGCAACATGGGACATTTTGTGTGGTCCACAGATTGTTGTTCTGAGTCTAGCTGTTCTTGGTTCCGTTTCATAAATGTTTGGAGTGTCCTGCGACACAGGATAAATTTCAAGTAGTTGTCTTTAAAAAAATATTGTCACAGCTGTAGTGGGAGCCTACTACCGTGTATCTTGTAAGCTATGGACAAGAGTAGTAATCCATAAAAAAAGAGAGGCATATAGACTAGATTTCGTATAAGTTTAATTTTTATTAAATTTATTTTGCTTACTGCTGATTTCAAACAATTTTTATTTTTTTTATGAAATAAAAATATTTGAGAGTTCAACCTTAACCTTTAAGTTCAAATAAATTTGGAAAAAATTAAAGTGTAGATGTGCAAGTGAGTTATTTTTGTTACGCTTTCACGCTTAAACCACTAAATCGATTTAAAAAATTCTTACACCAATTGAAAACTACATTATCATCGAGTAACATAAGCTACTTTTTACTGCGATTACCGACATACACGCGGGCGCAGCCGCGGCCAAAAGCCAGTCAATTATAAGATGGTGGACATAAAACCAAGTAAATTGTAATGAAAAATAAAACTGCACGAAACATTTTATTAATTATATATTTTTTGTCAGAAGGTAATTAATACAGTGCCAAAACAGTAACAAAACATTAGTAAGAAAAATCAAGACTGCATCTAGCATCAACTACTCAATATTGAGATAAACAATATTCTATACGGTTTATAGGGACAACATTTAACACTTATATTTTTCACAACATTTGAACAAACAGTTGGCATAGTAGACTATTTTTATAATATATAAATTGTGAACTAGATTCATTAACACCGATACGCCTAATGGATATTTTATTTCTTCTTCTACATTATTACTCGGAGGGTGGTTATGTGCAATGTCACATCATATAAACGAATAGTCTTGGAATTTCATTTTTTACATTTTCAATACGGAGTCAGTTCTCTTAAATAAAAATTCAATTTATCAATTCATAAGTGTGGTTCATTGTCATGCATATAAATTATAAATTAAACAACTGGAGCCCAACGTGGGATTTTATTTAGAATCGTTCAAATATTATCTTTCTTTAATCACTTCGTCTTAACTTTAATCATTCATTGATTGACATGAACATTACAGATATGCTTAGTTAACAAGCACTCCACAATCGATACTATACATCGATCAGAGGACCAACCCTACAACTACGTTCAATTCCTATTCACAGCGTTAAGCGTTTATTAATTTCTAATAAATATGCACATAACAACCCTCTCTATAATACTGCGCGAGAGCAGATCCTGCGGCAAGCGCCGCGCCCGTTAAAACCTGCTCTAAAATCAGTCTGTCGCTTGTCACCATGCCGCGTAATTCTAACATTTAATCACAAAATTACTGTATACACAGAACTAACATGAAGAGAGAGGACACTCAGTTCAAAATATTATTTTAAAACGTCTATGTAAAATGCTATACCGTCAGCGTGATGTGAGCTACTTCTTATTATATCCTTGGTCCATGCGAGCTAACTTGGCATCTTATGAAATACAATAGCTTCGTTACAAACCTTTTGTTTTTTTGAAAAATTAGTGATACGCTTTCGATAATGCGCGTCTCGACTACTCTTAAGCGGTCGTTTTGTACAAAAATAACATTTTTTTTGTTAACATTTTTTTTAAAACAAAGTTTACGCAAATCAGTACAAAACAAGACGATTCCAAAATAGTTTTTTTTTAATTTTATAAGGATATAATTTAATAGTAATTACGTTTTGGACATTACATTATACGTATGTACTACGTTTGAAGTTACCATGGGACACATCTAATTGCCATCAATACCACTCAACACATAACAACACCTTACCCCAAATATTCCCATGATAAATTCTTACAACACATTTATAAGACAAAGCTGAGTTTAGACAAAGATATACAATCTGTTTTAATTCTAAACCTATATAAGTTACAATCAAATGAGCTTACAATTGTCTCACCAAACTTACCATTAGAAGATTAATAAAATTACTCCTGACTTTATTTTAAACTGGACTGTGTGATGTTTTTTTTTCTATGGTAAACTTGGTTAGAGGTTTCCTCATTTTAAACGGTCAATATTTCGTGTTAAGCAATTCATTTCAAATGATAAATATTAGAAATAACCTTTAAAAAGTATAACCGACTTCTATCCTGGAGAATTTTAATAAACTGTAATTCTTTATTCCTTAATTTTCACCCTTAGGGGAGGCATTTTTGTTCAAATTTGAATGGAACAAAACGGAATATATATGGTCTGTCAAATAAAACAAAATATTTTCCAAATCGGTATTTAAATAACGAAGTTCTGAGGTAACAATAAGAAAAAAAAACACAAACGTCTGACGAGTAACTTGTAAGTATTGGACACAATATCATGCTACAAGACTTTAGTTTTTAATCTTCAGCTATTAAGGTCGTATATACGAAAGCTTAACAAAAAGTTTTGACCGTTTAAAAGGGATTAGACTTAAAACGGAGACGTGCATTATCAAAGTATACATTATTAGCACATTGCAACGACGACCGTCGCCATACCGACAATCACGGAATTAAGTTTTAATAAGCTCATAAAATTCGATATTCACCTCAGACAGTATTATTTTGTATTCATTAAATATATACTCGTTAAGTATCTTAAAACACCTATTTTTTTTTTATTACACGGACAGATCCAAAGTTATACATGAGATTAGGACTAGCGATCATCAAACTATTATTTGTTTATAATATATTATTATATTATAATAGTGTTTGCGCCTACAAAGCTTTGCTAAAAATAACAAAAAATATAACAAGAAACAATGATAATAAAAACAGAATGCAGATATAATGGGCAATTACAACAGTGGCAGTGTTTAGAGAAACGCTAAATTATAAATAACATTATAGTTAATAGTGTAGGATATCAAAGCCTTGTCTCGTAAACTCTCCTTTTAGAGTAAACATTGAGTACGAGATGTTATTATATTTAAAAGCTGAATCTTTTGGTATATTTAACACATGTAGCTATGGCAAATTATTATAAAACTGTAATACGTCGTTTCGGACTAAATGTAGTGAGATTTCAAACACTGAACATATATACTTAATACAAAGATCCCATTACATTTGTCTTGTTCAACTGAATAAAACACTGTCACTTAAAACTTAAATTATAATATAATATACTTATTGGTGTCGACAAGTAGTGTTTAGCACCACATTAATATAAACTATAGTTACGTAAGCACTAACAAATCCGAGTGGCGCAATTCCTGAACAGAGAAAAAAAATGGAGAGAAAAAATAAACGATTTTTTTCTCGTGCTCAAAATCCTGTTTTTAATACTTGTGTACGCACACTGGTCACCTAAAATATGTAAAAAATTAATTCACCAACACTTACCAACTAGAAAAATATTTTAGAAATTCTCACTTACATTTAAGAGGAACTGGCAAAATAAATCCTGTATTTCCCACGTCTAATATTTTTATTATATTTTTTTTCATTTATTCACTCACATTTGAATACAAAAAACCAGATTTGGTCCTCACGTATAAAATTCATGATGCCATTCCTATAAATTGGACAGAACTATTCACGGTACGCGTATTAACGAGTAGCAAAAATATTAGTAGACTATGCAACACTAAACAATGGCTCAAAATATCAAATCCACTAAATACCCAATAGAAAAAAAAACAAACTGCCTACGTGTTACGGCAAAACCTCGTAGAAGCAATGTTAAACTTAAGAACCTAATAGAGTAAGATTAAAATGGTGGTAGACCGTGACGCCCCGGGGCGACTGGCTCGAACATATCACAATAGACTATCTAATAGGACTAACCACCCTTATTGTCCACACTCATTCAACTATAAATACTATCTTTGCAACTAATATTTAAAAAAAGAAACACCCATAGCTTCACACCCAACGGAACTAAGAATCCACAGTATCAAAAAGTGATTAAAATTCCATTTAGTTAGAGTATTTGTGCATAGGGTGCGCTTGGCACCCACAACGAGGCGCTAACGGACATAAAGAGGCGAATCACGCCGAACAGACTATCCGTCACCTAAGAAAGGACACATCAATTATTATGCTAAATAGTTACACTTCTTCTAAACGAGGATTCTTTATACGGTTATATTAAAACATGTAACTATTAGATTCTTACTATAAGCTTTAGGGCCGTAGTATTCACCTATAACTATCTTCACCTAATGGCAAACGCTCATATCGATATCGTTCACTACACAACTAGCATCATTTAAAATAGATAAAAAACCCACTACATTACACAATTTTGCAGGAATAACTATCTAAACAGTGAGTTTATGTATTCCGCAACAGAGTTTTTTTCTTGTTCAGTTATTAATTTTTTTTATAAATATTCTTCCGTAAATTATTATCAAATTTGATAAAGCTCAAGATTGATCCACATTCACATAAAATTACTCGGGAGTGTCCAAGATACACTGAAGCATATTTGAACGCCCATGCAGACCCCTGAACGCGGACCCAATAAATATGTGATAATAAAATACGCCCAACGTCGTACGAATTCTCGTTACCGGCGTTCAAACGAGGAACATTATGTTTATAACTAAATACAAAAATTCGGGAATTATTTAAAGGTAACCGATAGTGGTCGAAACTCGCGAAAGCTAAAGATTAAATTATAAGAGAACCATTATCCAGTCTTGCTAATGGTGTAATACACGACTACACATTCCTAACAAAATAAAAAATAAAAATCTAGCTGAATTCACTAGCGTGGTGCTTACACACTTTTGTACCTTC